GTCCTTTGGTCCCCCTTAAGGGAACCGACTGTACCATTGTCCTTCTCAAATTTGACAAGCATGAGGGAGGGAACGATGACAACCTTGGATTCATTGAGGGTCGGACGGCCAAAAATCATGTTGTAGGCGGCAAGCTCTTCTACAACCAGGAATTTGATCACCATGTGGCGACCTTCCCCCTTTTCACCAAGCCGGATGGGAAGATTTATGCTCCCTACCGGATGCACTACACCTCCCCCAAAACCAACAAGCGGGTGGGGCGCCTGGTGCATGCTACTGGATTTATACTTGAGCTTGGTCAAGCACTAATAACTGATTAGGTCAAACGAGCTTCCGGTATCTATTAAGATTCGGCCAACTCTCTGATTGGCAACCTTGCATTCGATGACTATGAGGTCATCGTGAGGTCGTCTGACCTTGCCCCGATCCTTTTCAGAAATTAGGACCTCAGGAAATATGTCTTTCGACGCCTGGGTCTCCTCAACTAAGTTAACCAGCTTCCTGATGTTGTCTTTGGTGCCCCGGATAGTGGGACCCCCACCGGAAAAGCCGCCTGCGATTGTGAAGATTGTCTCTTCATCCGTTTCTGAATTGGCAAGAACAGCTTTTGCCGCCTGCCCTTTCTTGGCCAGGGTGTTGCCCTTGGCTTTGGGCAGATAAGACTTTAAAGCCCCTTCATCAGCCAGACGGTCTAATAGCTTCCTGAGGTTATAGCAACCATTAGTGTCATGGCCAACATCCTCATGGTACTAGAGTATTTGCTTTTTTCCTGGCTGCCTACAGGGCTTTTCATAACGGCCGGCTTGTCGAGAGACATCCGGTCCTTAATCTCCATGAGGATGGAGGAGCAGTCCTTTGTGAACTCGTACTTGGGAATGTACGGTTCAGATTTCCGCCTGAGCTTCTGCGCCGGCTGACCAGATCGGTCTGCCGCCCAGACCTCTTTTCTCTTCTTTTCTTCCTTTTAGCCGACTGTTGTTGTTGTTGCCGGCTGTCTCTTCTATCGGATTTCTTGAAATCCGACGGCTGCTTTACAGCGCAAAGCTCCGTCGCCTGTATGTAGGCTTCCGCTTCCATTAATGCCTCTTGGAGGGTGGCTACCCTTTTCCGGACGAGGTCAAACTTGAAAGTTGACCCATCCTTCAGACCCTTAAAGAAGTCTGTGTAAGCAACTTCATCAGACATTCCTTAAATCTGAATTCTCATCAGGTTGAACCGCCTGACATACGACCGGAGTCCTTCTCTGTCACCCTGCTGTATGGCCCCCAGATCGAGGCTTGTCTTTTTAGCCGGGATGTTCATTGAGAAGTTTGACGTAAACAGGTACGCCAAGGTCTTGAAGCTGTTGATGCAACCGGCTGGTAAGTTACCAAACCATCGTTGGGCAACGCCCTTCAGGGTAGCCGGGAAGCATCGGCACCTGACGGCATCATCCAACCCCTATAGGTACATGAGGTTGGAATAAGCCATTAAATGATCTTCTGGGTTGGAGGTACCATCATAGGCCCCTACCAACACGTTTTTGATCTTGGCCGGCTGTGCCGCCTGGGTTATCTCAGGGGAGAACGCCGAGGCCTGCTCTCCCAAATTTAGCAGGCGCTGCTGCCAATCCATGAGTTGGAACGGCTGCTTCACATTTCTGCCAAACGGACCCGTTTGGGTAAAAGGGGATCCACCCAGCCCATTCGGCGAACCAAATAGACCAAGCTGGATCACTTGGGGTCCAGACCAGGCGGAGGGTTCACCCGTCTGACACCCTAGACTCGTTCCCGAACGCCTGTTGGAGGCGCCACGAAAACTGTCTGGAAAGGTCGACGTTGAAGCCGACGCAGACGCCAGACTTCTCTTTTCTTGGAGAAACGTCCGGGCGTCAGAGAATATCTTTTTTGAACCATCCGGCTGCAAGTGCCGAATGGGTTTTCTGGGCTCCGATTGTGGGAAGCGGAGACGGTTTTGATCAAATATGAGGCCCTCCCTTTCCTTCGGCTTTGGATGAGGGGTAGGGACCCGGTCTTTGATTGCCTTCTTGTTAGAAGGCTTCTTGGCCGGCTGACTCTTCTTGGGAGTAGCTGACCGAATAAGGCTCTGGATCTCGCCTTTGAAACTATTCATGAAGGTCATGAGTTCGTTCCTTGTGACGGGAGCAGAGCCTTTTGTCGCCTATGCAGCTCCAACCGGGTTGCCGGCTGGGTTGCTTGGAGCAGCTTGGATGTTTTCCCGTTCCTTCTTATCCCTGGAACGGGTGTGCTTTGTTCTAAAGGATCCGTCTGGGGCCACATAAGGGTTGGGTTCGTACTCATCACCGCTTTCATGGTCCGTCTGGACCTCAGGCTCGGCCGATGGGCGCTTGTCCTGATTCGGTGGTACAGGGTTTGAAGCCATCTCAGAAGTACTCTCCCCACAGACGGCGCCAAATGTTTCGGGGTTTTTGATGTGTCCTGCGGGAGAGTTACAATTCCAAGAATGCCCTTCGACCGCCTGTACCTGCAAAATCACGAAGACTCCGGTTGGGTGGAGCTCCGCCTCCGACGATCAAGTCAGTGATGTACGGGAGGAAGAAAGTGCGTAAAAGGGTAATTACTTCTCGCGTAATGGGAGAATTCCGCAATTAAGATTGCTCGGGTTTGGTGTAAATGTATTTATGATTATCTCCAATACCCCATTAATGAAGATTCTCCCACTATATATAGTGGGGAGCATTGGTTCCCCATTTAGGGTTCCTAGGACACGTGTCAGCAGGGGATTGGAGCACTACTGACCAATGGCAAGGTGCCACGTGTCGCTCAGCCATTGGGCCACGTGGCTGGGGTAATTTTACCCCAAACAATAAGGATGGATCCTCTATTTATATAGAAGATGATCAATCCCTTTCTAGGGTTTGGTGACACGTGTCAGCAGGCTATTGGGACACATGTTGCGTTAACAGTGGTCCGCTTGTTAGGGGTATTTTACCCCCAAACAACTAGTATGTTATATTTGATATTAATTAAAATAAATAAGTAATCTAAAACGACATTAATAATGCCGCTGGACTAGTTTATATAAACCGTTGTATAAATCTAAGCCGTTTGATTAGATCTACATTTATTAACATTAATTGTATTTAGGTTGTAAATAATTCAATTTGAATTAAGCAGTTTGTAATCGAATCAGTTTAAACATGTTGCGATTCGAAAACAGTTCGATTTTAATGGTTTAATGGGTTATAGCGATTCGGTTTAAACGGTTAGTGGATTACAACGGTTCGGTTTAAACGGTTTTTCCTGCGGTTTAAATGGTTTCGGTTCATAAACAGGTCGGTTTAAACGGTTAGCGGGTTACAAATGGTTCGGTTTAAACGGTTTTTTCTACGGTTTAAACGGTTTCGATTTATAAACGGTTCGGGTCAATAACGGGTTTATAAACCATTCGGTTCGGTTCAGTTTTGAGCAGTTTGGTTTGTTATCGGTTTACGGTCCGTAACGGGTTGACAATAAGCGGTTCGATTCGGTTTTAGTTTGATATTGTACGGTTCAGTTCAGTTTTCGATTTAAAATTAGCGGTTTATAAACGGTTCGGTCCGTGATAGTTCGGTTCGATAACAGGCGGTTTCACGGTTCGGTTTGAAAAGTCCCCCCTATATAGTACTATATGGATTATAGACAAAGGTTCTTATTTTAAATACAATGAGTATAGAATATTCTTATAGAGTTGAGATATACTAAAAATAATTTGTTCATATAATTAAAATATTCGAACAATGGATTAATTTTTTTTTAATGCTAAAGCTGTTGACTTAATGTTGATTGAAATTTATATAAATCCATTCCATATTGTCAAACGAAAATTAACAAAATCATACCATTGTTTCGCAAATATCTTGTGAAAATTGTGTGATGAACTTTTTACATGGTACTTGGCATGTAAAAAATAGAAAATAGAGATTTTGGAGGAAATAAACAGCATCGAGAAATGACATAATTCATTTTTGGTGTTTGTTTTAGTATCCGATCCAAAAGTGAAGGATTTTCACCGAATTTATAGATATGATAAATGTATTCTCAAATTGGGTAGTAAAATTTCAACAAAAAATGCGATCCATATATGACTTGAAAACTGAAACAAAAAAGTGGACAGAGTATCTGAAGTTTAAGATCAAATCTCTAGTTATTCGAATCGAATCACTAGTTATTCTGATCAAATAAAGTGGATCAAATATTTTGCACAACCCTTATTCATATATTCAAGTTATGGCTAAAGAAATTAGGATAAGAAAGTTAAATAAATCCAATTTATGTAATGGAAGTCCATAGATAAAACATTTGTCAAGGGCATTATAGTCATTAATGTGTATGAAAACGAAAACCAAACAAATCCATTTAAAAACTCTATAAGATTATATGAAGTCGATGAGGTGCATATATAAATATTGTACTCCCAAGCAAAGCAATGCTTAAACGAAAAGTATTGAGCCTTCTAATTTTGAGGTTGGAGGTTCAACTCCCATTAGAGTAGGGATTTTTCTCATACTCAAAGTATTTAGCCCGCAAGTATAGGTGATCAAAGTTAACCCGGCTCGGTCCGATGTTGGGCAGAATTTTTTGGCCCGAAATCGGGTTGGGCCCGGTCCGGCCTGAAATTTTTTTTTTTTTGCGAGTTTGGGAATGCGTTTTTATGCATATTAGTTGATTTTTTAGGCTCGACCCGAATATGGCCCGAAAAGCCCCACACGGCCCGACCATTATGAGCGCGTTTGGGCACAAAAATTTCGGCCCAAAGCTTGACCCGGCCCGTCCCGAGAAATGGGCATACTTTTTGGCTTTAGCGGCCCGAAACCGACCCGACCCGCCTAGTAATCACCTCTACCCGCAAGTTTAACCAGATTTTGATATGATAGAGCAGTTTATCTTACCAACATCGGCTACATATACTACTTAAATAAGTGCAAATTACGTTATTACAAATAACCTACTAATCTTGGGTATGAGTTTGGTGACCTCAAACTAATCCCAAACATATGGGGCCTTATTTAGTTATATCATCTCTATAGTACTCAGAAACCACTTCAACACGCCTTTTTTCATTTTTTGCAGTACAAAAATACCAAACATGGTAGTACAATGGACCATCTAGTCAGATTTCAACAACGCCAACTCTCCCACATTTGTCCATATTTTCTCTCTCTTCTTCCACCTGCTCCATCAACCTTCAACCTCCTTCTGCTACTTTTACCTCCTTAAAGCCTTCTTTTTCCTCCTCTTTTCTTCCCCTTCAATTATTAAATTAAACCTCTGCCAAAAAAAAAAAAAAAAAAAAAACCATTTGCAATTGCTCTGTGTTTTGCTCATGCTTCTTTTATGGCGCTCAACAACATCAAAGACCTCCAGCTAACGTCGACCCGCGGTTCCGATGTTTCTGACGCTGTAGACCTCGAAGATGTGCGCTTACTTGACCATTATGAAGTTTCCGGCGCATCGTTGGAGGATGGAATTCGTAATTCGCGGAGAATTCAAGTCAGTGTTGGTGGTATGACCTGTGCTGCTTGTTCTAATTCTGTTGAGTCAGCTCTTCTTGCCGTTAATGGCGTCTTCAATGCTTCGGTTGCTTTGTTACAGAATAAAGCTGATGTTGTTTTTAATCCTGATTTGATCAAGGTTTGTGTTATTAATTAATTTAATTTATTGATATTGGATTTGATTCAGCTTTAGTATTGGATTTTGGATCATGTGTTTACTTGAAATTTCCTTACAATTATGAACACAACTATTTAACTTGTTAATTTAGGGATAAATCTAAATTTGGTGGTTAGTGTAGGGTTGAGTGGGATTGCATCTTGTATCAGAATTTGGTAGCTGATTGATGCCGAATTCTAAATAAACTAGAAAATATTGATTTCGAGTTTAGATAGTGTTATTGGTAATATTCACTAAATGTGGTATTTGCGAAGTAAGGTGTACGGGTGATCATAGTATTTCTATTTCTGGAGTTATTAGATTCTGGATTTTATGATTGGAAGTAAGTAATGACTAGGGTATTGCATTTCTTATTTTATTTTCAACTGAAGCTGTAGTAATTTGCTGCTCTACGTAACTTTTATCGTTTTCTCAAATCTAATTGTAAAATTAGGTTGTGTACATCATTGACAGAGGGTTAGAGCGCGGTTTATACATGGGTAAATAAAATTTATAGGGGAAAGTAGCTCTAGTGATGTGTGAGTTTTGTGTGTTGAATGCAGGACTCCACTGCCTTCTTAAAGTGACCAACTGTCCATACCAACCCCGTCGATCATGAACTGTGTTGAAATCGGTTTCAGTCATGGTTGTCAAACCTTTTGTGGGAACATGTATTTTACCTAAAGCAGTAGAGCACTAGAGCTACACGCTCAAATCAACTACCCAAACAAGATGAACTCGTTTTACAGTCAAGAATCCTTTCCCAAAATGACAACACAACGTGGAATCCTCAAGGTAGTTGCAGGACTCTTTATAAGCAACTGGGATGCCATATTTGTTTGGTGGAAATTGAGTTCGTATTTATCTGTGTTGGCGTAATGTAACGGAGTTTTGAAACCTGCTTGGCTGAAATGTTTGACTTTGAAGGGGATAGAACACAATGCATCACTGTTGGAAAGGTGATTGGTTTTAGCTTTTGATGCGTATCACTCCTTGATGCCCTTCAGCATGGTTATATTGGTGCTTATCCAAGATAAATTTCTTCTAGCCGGTGAAAGCTTTTCTGTGAGATTATTATATGAGAGATGTCCTTTCAATGTAAACCTTGATATCATAGTCAGCTTTACTTGAAACTGTTGTCTTTTTTTCATCTTAAGTTCGCTAGGTCCAGGGTTAATTTTGGCTTCTTTTGTACTGACGTATTTTCATAAATAATTATTTCTATTCTAATAGTTGTCACGGTGAATTTTTTTTAATCTTGTCCTTTGCATTCTTCTGCTAGGTGGATATGTAATTAGCAACTTTTATATGTCTTTATCATGACTGCATATGTTTAGTGTAAAGCTTTTGTTGAAGTTGGTGCTGCATTGGTCCACTTAATGTATGCCTTTTACTGCTTTTTCTAAGGTGGGTACAATCATCACCAACCATAACAAAATAAAATAGAAAGTAGCTGGTTTGAAGGTATATCTTATGTTGCTTTAGTCATACAATATAGTTTTGTATTCTGTTGTGATTCATTGGCCTAAATTTGTGCTACACTAACTTTTATTACCTGGTTGCCTTGCAGGATGCGGATATTAAATCTGCTATCGAAGATGCAGGATTTGAGGCAGAAATTTTGCCTGAACCAAATTCTTCTCGAACAATTCTAAATAAAACTTTGTTGGGGCAGTTTAATATCAGAGGCATGACTTGTGCAGCATGTGTTAACTCGGTTGAAAGTATTTTGAGGGAGCTCCCTGGGGTTACCAGAGCTGTGGTTTCCTTAACAACTTCGTTAGGAGAAGTTGAGTATGATCCATCTGTAGTCAGCAAGGATGGCATTGTTAACGCCATTGAGGATGCTGGATTTGAAGCTTCACTTGTACAGAGCAGTGAGCAGGGTAAAATAATTCTTGAGGTTGCAGGGATTTTTGGGGACCTGGATGCACAGTCTCTGGAAGGGGTGCTTTGCCATATAAAAGGAGTGCTACAGTTTCGTTTTGATAGGAATTCAAGAGAGCTGGAAGTTTGCTTTGATTCTGAAGTCATTGGTTCTCGGTCCTTGGTTGACGCCATTGAAGAAGCTAGTGGTGGCCGATTTAAATTGAGTGTGAAGAACCCTTATGCCAGAATGACCTCTAAAGATCTGGAAGAATCATCAAAAATGTTCCAGCTTTTTACATCCAGTGTCTATCTTAGTGTAAGTTAACTAATTCTGCTACTTGATTGTTATATGTTTCCACTGAGGCTCAATGGCTTCTGACAAATTTACTTTCTATAATATCATATCTACACACTTATTTTTGAACAATTCTTCAACATGACCAAGAACTTACGTCATGTTCTGGTAATCTAGTGGTTTGCACTTTCTAGCTGTTTAGCACTATCTCCTTGTTTTAATTATTGTTTGCAAGCTGCAATAGATTTCTATTAAGTAGGCGCATTAGATTGGAAAAGTTATATGTAACTATGCATTTGAAGAATATGCATGTAGGTACAATAAGAAAGGCTGCTTAGTTGACGTTACCTATCCTTATTGGACTTAATTTACCCAAATTTCAGCTCCTTGTAGCTGCAATTGAGAGATGTTCAAGCTTCATGTTCTAACTTCTTTCGTCTGGAGAACATAAAAGTTGTGGACCTTGTGTCCTAGCTTACTTCAAATATTGAGCCATTATCAAGTTTGTGCTTTTTTTTTTTAATCTTTATAGACCTCCAACTATGCTTTCCTAGTATCTTGACGGGTCATTGCGTGATTTATCATATAGAATAGAGTTTTGTGATTGAAAAGTAGACAATTGGACGTATGCTTTAAAATTTATTCCCTCTGTTCTCAAAAGTTTGACTCACTTACTGTTGACTCTTGTTTCTAGGAATGCTTTTAAAAGGTGAGGGGTTGAAAGGTGGGTGGGTTTAAGTAAGAAAGTTGGTAAAGAGAGAATATAAAAGGGTGTATTGTGTGGGGTAGGAGGGGTAAGATATAGTAAAGAGGGTTTTTATAAAAATGGAATATAGTAGAAATGAGTTGAATTTTTTGAAACGCCTCAATGGAAAACGACAAGAACTTTTCGAAATGGAGGGAGTATATCTGAACAACCAGCTACGATATTTGCTAAACTCTTATGATTTCTTCCTAATGTATGTATTGGTGAAGTTTAGAAGGGAAGATGCGCTAAAAATTAACCTCTTGAATGCAAATTGAACATCATGTATTTCCCCAGTTCAATGTTAAAAGAAATTCCAATGACCATTTGTTGCTTCTTTGATATTGGAAACTTAAGCATTCAACTTTGTTTCATCAAAATCACAGGTTCCTGTATTTCTTATTCGTGTCTGCCCCCATGTACCGGTGTTGTATCCTTTTCTCCTGTGGCGTTGTGGACCTTTCCTGATGAGGGATTGGCTGACGTGGGCATTGGTGAGTCTTGTTCAGTTTGTCATTGGAAAGCGTTTCTATGTAGCAGCTGCTAAAGCATTAAGGCGTGGAGCTACAAACATGGATGTATTAGTTGCATTGGGAACTTCAGCTTCCTACTTTTATTCTGTCTGTGCTCTTCTTTATGGGGCTGCTACTGGTTTCTGGTCTCCAACATACTTTGAGACAAGTGCCATGCTAATAACATTTGTTCTCTTGGGCAAATATTTGGAGTCCTTAGCAAAGGGTAAAACATCAGATGCTATCAAGAAGCTTGTTGAACTTGCACCTGCTACAGCATTGTTACTTGTGAAAGACAAAGGTATGCCTACTAAGAGTCACTTATAAATTAGTTTGATAATACTTCATTCTTTTTTGCTGCAACGTATGAAATTTTATACTATTCTCACAAACTCCTTTGACCTTGTTTTGTGATTTATGTTAGGAAAAATATAGTCATATGGGATTTTGTTAGATTTGTCTCAATATGTTGACTTTTTATGATTAAAGTATAATTAAAGATATTAGTTGTACAAAATGTGAATTGGCAAGCGTGGAAGCCCCGACATTGCAATTAAAAAAGCCAGATGAAGTATTATTTACGAGGCTGAAATGGTTGATTTGAGTAATTTACATTGTTGAATTGGTTTGATTTTATTCTATAGGCGGGAAATGTTTAGGAGAGCGCGAAATTGATGCTTTGTTGATTCAACCTGGTGATCCATTGAAAGTTCTCCCTGGTACTAAGGTTCCAGTAGATGGTGAAGTGTTGTGGGGTTCAAGTTATGTCAATGAAAGTATGGTCACTGGTGAATCTGTCCCTGTCTTGAAAGAGGTTGAAGCACATGTGATTGGGGGCACAATGAATTTGCATGGGGTACTTCATATTCAGGCAACCAAAGTGGGATCTGACACATTTTTGAGTCAGATAATAAATCTGGTTGAAACTGCACAAATGTCCAAAGCTCCAATACAGAAATTTGCTGACTTTGTAAGTATTCAGTTGGAATAAGTGATTTAATGTTACAATTTAATGATTGTTCTTTTATTTCCTTCTGAATATGTATGTCATTGCTTGGTAAGTGGTTGGAGTTGGGATAATTGATACATTATTGTCATAATTGGAAAACAGCTGTGTTGGTTTTTTTTTTTATAGTACATATAATCTTCACCTTGGTGATGGTAAGCAATTCATCATACTAGCCTCTCCAAGATGGAAAAGATTGATGGCTTCCGAATACTTAGTGTTCCTCTATCCTATTTATTTCCATACTGTATTTTTTGGGATGAGGAAGAGGGCTCGGTGAGATTTTATAATCTTTTTATGAAGTATAAGGGAGTAAAGGATCTAAGATGGCATAAATATTCAGCTGTTGATTAGCGAATCAATGTGGCTTTTGCTAAACCTGTGTTTCACAGAAGTAGGACCTGCTAATTTATCTTCTGGAAGGTTTTACCATTTAATTTTACACCCTACTTTTATAGTCAGTAATTAACTTTTATGTGGCATTAGCTATAAAGTTGCTTTGATTTCTGTATATACTTAACTCCAACCTCATTAATATCTCAGACTGACATGATTTTACTGTAGGTTGCAAGTGTATTTGTTCCTACTGTGGTTGTTATGGCATTGTTTACACTATTGGGCTGGTAAGTCACTGCTGGTATATGGCACTTTCTGCAATTAGTTCATAATGATACATTCTCAGTTTTAACTGTAATACATTTTCGGCGCTAATCATTCTAGGTACATTGGTGGAGTGACTAGATCTTATCCTCAAAGCTGGTTGCCAGAGAATGGCAATTATTTTGTATTTTCCTTGATGTTTGCAATATCAGTTGTTGTAATTGCATGTCCATGTGCTTTGGGTTTGGCTACACCTACCGCTGTCATGGTCGCAACTGGGGTTGGTGCTAAACATGGCGTGCTTATAAAAGGAGGAGATGCATTGGAAAGGGCTCAAAAGGTCAATTATGTCATCTTTGATAAAACGGGGACTCTTACGCAGGGAAAAGCCACAGTTACAACTGCTAAAGTTTTCACTGGCATGGATAGAGGAGAATTTCTTAGATTGGTGGCTTCTGCTGAGGTGAATTATTTTCTATTACAACTGAAAATGTTGAATTATAGTTGCATCTAATGGTTTCCAGTATGACTTTAGTGCTTTGTATAGTTGTATGGTGTAATATCTTGAATTAGCATGTTAGGTGTTGCTGTCAAATTGTCAACGCCCTATTGAATTAAATCTCTTTGTATGTTGATCTCATACTACTTAATGTTGTAGGCTAGTAGTGAACATCCTTTGGCAAAAGCAGTGGTTGAATATGCTCGGCATTTTCATTTCTTTGAGCCTTCTGAAACCAAGGACTCTCAGAAGAATGACAAGGATTCTGGATGGCTTTTAGATGCTTCAGATTTCATTGCTGTGCCTGGAAGAGGAGTCCAATGTTCTGTTGATGGAAAACATGTTCTGGTGAGTTCCAGACTCTTGAGTGTTGCCACATATGTCAAACAGAAGAATATAGTGTTATTTGTCTTAACGACTGCTTAATTATGCATTTCAATGACAGATTGGAAACAGGAAGCTGGTTACTGAAAATGGGATGGCAATTCCTAAACACATTGAAAAGTTTTTGGTGGAGCTCGAGGAAGGTGCACAGACTGGAGTACTTGTTGCCTGTGATGATGTACTAGTCGGAGCTCTAGGAGTAGCTGATCCTCTGAAAAGAGAAGCTGCTGTTGTCATTGAGGGCCTTTGCAAAATGGGCATTAGACCTGTCATGGTCACTGGGGATAACTGGCGAACAGCTCAAGCTGTTGCCAAGGAGGTATTTACTGATCTTGTTGCCCCATGTTTATTTTTATGTCATCTGCATTTCTTATTTCTTTCAAAATAAATGTTATTTTGTTATTGAAGATGTTCTAGGTAGTAGATTCAGGCTATGTTCTCTTCACCTTATTTAAGGTATTTTGATTGAGAACCGATCTGATCTGGGGGTCTGATTTTAACAAGAATAAGTAAAAAGAATAAGGTAAAGAGAACAAATATATTGAAATTGCTGTTTTGGCTTGTGGAAGAATCCAATCATATGATGCAGACAGTGAATTGATTATTGTGGCGATAATGCTATTTCAAAAGTAATTGTGTCCTAGAGTTCCTTAAAAGCATGGATGACACATATTTAACACTATTTTGGCAATAATAGCTATTGCAAAAGCGATCGTGTCCATTATATCTTCTCGTTGTGACATTGCTCTTGTGCTTCACTTTTGTTCTGAATTTTGAACTGAATAAAGATGACAAGGAAATCACTTGACTGGCAGGTGGGCATACATGATGTGAGGGCTGAAGTGATGCCAGCTGGGAAAGCAGAAGTAGTTCGTTCGTTTCAAAGTAATGGAAGTGTGGTGGCAATGGTAGGTGACGGCATCAACGACTCACCTGCTCTTGCTGCCGCTGATGTTGGTATGGCAATTGGTGCAGGAACTGATGTCGCCATTGAGGCTGCTGATTATGTCTTGATGAGAAGTAATCTGGAAGATGTAATAACAGCCATAGATCTTTCAAAGAAGACATTCTCACGTATCCGTCTGAATTATATCTTTGCCATGGCTTACAACATAATTGCTATACCCGTTGCTGCAGGTGTTTTTTATCCCTCGATAAAGTTAAATTTGCCCCCTTGGGTGGCTGGTGCTTGCATGGCTCTCTCTTCTGTAAGTGTTGTTTGTTCTTCTTTGCTTCTTAGGATGTATAAAAAACCCAGATTGACAAGTATACTTGAGATAACTGTAGAATAGGGCTCGAACTTTGAATTTGTGGGTGACCTTTGGGCTCCTTCAAGTTTGTACATGTGAGAGATGATTTTTAACGATTTAATGGGGTAAAAAAATAGCTGCCCTACATTCCTCGTATAGGGAAACTGTTGTAACACATCCTGTATACTATGTTAATGCTTTTCTTTAGTGGTTGGTGAAAATACGCCATCGTCTTTGTATGGAATAGGCGTCCGTGTGACAGTGTGAGCTGGGATAGTCTTATGTATAATGCTAACACCATACGTACACGATTTAGGTGTATTACTTTCTTTTTAAAGGCATCATGTAACTGTTCTATGAAAGGAAAAGACATTAAAATTTTATTTATTATTTGTCTCACTATTTTAATAACTTTAACTGAGTATGTTCCCACTCACTTCAATATATGATCCACTCCCTAATTACAATTTTTTTTTTTTTTTTAAAAAACCTACTGACAAAATCTGGACAAAATAAGAAATTAATTGTTTTGCTGGGGGTGCTAATCGAGTATCACAAGGGATGCTTGACTCGTAATCGAAAATTGTGACTCGTGCTCATGCTCGACTCGTGATCAAAAATTGTGACTCGTGCTCATGCTCGACTCGTACTTGCTACACTCGTTAACATGTAGCTCGGCTCGTGATCGTTTAATTTGATCATAGTTTGACTCGTGCTCAACTCGGCTTGTAACTCGTGTAGCTCAGTTGTGCTCAGCTAGATGCCTAGATTGCTTGGCTCGGCTCGTAACTCAAACAAACTCGATTGCTCGGCTTGGCTCGTAACTCAAACAAACTCGATTGCTCGGCTCGTGATTAACTCGTTTGAAATGACTAATATAGGATGAGTAATGTGCTAAAATTATACGGCACAACCTTTGGTAAGTTGGTCTTTTCACTGTAAAACAAGACATGTAGAGCAATGGCACAGCAATTATGAGGAGCAGGAAACTATATTTATTATTATTATTATTATTATTATTATTATTATTATTATATATATATATATATATATATATATATATATATATATATATATATATTGGAAATTCTCTTCGGTCTCACCGTATTTTTTAATTTTCTCATTGATAAATTGTAAAATTCTTATTATCGTTGGTAAACTCTATTTAGATACATTAATTAAATGGTGACATTAATTATGTATTATAGTTAATGGTTAACCATGGCTAATATTTATTTAAAAATCACATAGGTTTTTATTATTTTATTTTTTAACAATTAAACCCACTGCCCACCTACTCCCCAACAGCCACCTGCAAGGAATCAATATTTGGGGGAGGACATGGTAGTCATAGTCTATTAGTAGTAATTTGGAGAATAAGCTAGAGGTTTGTTAGGAGGGATTTTTTTATAAATAGGCCTCATTAGGAGGAAAGGATGATGTTTTCAGGGGTTTTTGTCCCTAGGAAGAGTTACGTCATCAAGACTGGATTCCGGGCGCCTGTACCTGCAAAACAACGGAGACTCAGGTTGGTTGGAGTTCCGCCTCCGACGATCAAGTTAGAACGTGTACGAAGAAAATGAAAAGGTGCGGAAACTAAAGTGAGATTTTCTCGGATTCCGAGATCAGGGGATTTCTCGGTTGTGAGAGATTGCTTGTATGGTAATTAATGAGTAACTGTATATCTGTCCCTCCAAAGTGGGGTAAATCTCCCTATTTATAGGGTCATTGGTAAAGGTGCCCCTATCTAGGTCATTCTGACCTAGATTTGGGGGCTGCGGCATTTTGCGGCTTTTCTCGGGAATTGGGCCCTAAAGGCTATCTTTTTCCCCACTAATTGGGAGTGCCACGTGTCAGCTAATGAACCTCTCCTAAGGTGACACATGTCACCCTCTTATTGGACCACGTGGCCTGGGTATTTTTACCCAAAACATTTGCCCCTCACAGGTGTGACATGGCATGCCACGTGGCGCCTGTGAAAATGTCACTTAGGCATTGGTGAACAGTTTTAACTGTTCACCTTCTGGCGGAATATACAGGGATGCCCCTTATTTTACCCCTCTATAAATAGGGTTTTACCCTCCCTCGTTTTGACATTTTCAAAAAGTCTAGAGAGAGAGTCAAACGTTCTAGAGAGAGAATAAATGGATTCACCATCAGCACACACGGCACAGCCTAGGTCAGTAGTCAGCCGCTCTCCTGGTATGGCCGAGTCTAAGACAAGGGGTGCCATCTCTGGGTGTTTGGATCACCCTTGTTCATCTCCAAATCCGACCGTCTCCGTGTTTGTGCAGGACACTATGGCTCGGAGGATGTGGATGACACCTGATCCGGAATATAGGGAAAAAGGCACAGAAGGTGTGTCGCCTGAGGAAGAGACGACTGAGGTGGTGGCACTGGTTGAAGAGGAGGGAGGATCTCCTTCGGGTACACCCAGCACTCCCAGTGATGGGATCCTTAGATCAGAAGAGGGAGACGATGAAGAAGTCGTCACTGTATCTTGTTCTAAGGAAGATGATGAAGTTGTCTTTGAGAGAGACCGCCTCTGGGTTTAATTCTGGGGAGAGCAGTAGTGGCTCTCTATCGCCGGTTGAGGATGGTGAGGCAGAAGAGAGAAAAAAGTGGAGCAACGAGGGGGATCTGCTTCGGATCCATGTGTCTGCCAGAGATAGGGCGAATTGAAAGGAATGGTGTCCTTCCAAGCGTATTATTCCGATAGAGTGTTCGGAATTATTAGAAAACTAATTCTTCAGTGAGGTCAAGTGATCGGAATGCCTAGGTGGAGGTCGCTTCTGATCAGTAATATTAATATATAATTAATATTACAGCTTGACTGAACCCTTTAGGTCGCACCCCAATCAAGTAACTGATCCGAGACGACGAATCAATCCGAAGGATTAGATGAGTCATTAGAGTATTACGAACAAAGACGTCGGATATCGAGCTTAGAGCGTCGAAACCGAGCGTCATAAGTCGAGTCAAATTTAGAATTCAACAAGACAAGAAATCAAACAAACGATAAGTACGAGCTAAGGCGTAGCCTCGCATTGGCCTAGCCATGTGAGTGCTAGGCTAGCCTAGGCCACAAACCGCATCGCAAGGCATGCCGCAAGCCAAGCATGCATGTGTGTGCTAGGCTTGCTGGCCGAGCATGCTTGCGGGGCTGGTGCTTAGGTCGCAAGCAAGCTAGCATGCGTGCTAGCATGCTGGGCCTCGCACCCAGCCACTCGCAGCACGCAGCAGCTAAGCATCGCCCAGCACACGCACAACACCAGCACACCATCGCAGCAACAACATCTCGCATTGCGTGCATGGCTTGTTTACTGCGCGCATGCAAAGGCTGGCTGGCCAGCTAGCCTAGCCTTGGTGCTAGGCGCCAGCTAGGCAGCCTTGGCAGCCAAGGCAGGCTGCCAGCCAGCTGTGCATGGGCTAGCATCCGGTCAATGTGGGGACCAGTCTAGGTGGCTTGCTAGGGGAGCAAGTGGTGTTTGGTCCCCCCACCCTTTAGTGGTCCTTTCCTAACCTTGCTCACCATCTGCCACTTGGCACTTGTTGATTCATTTGCATATTAATTTGTTTTGAATCAAAATATATTGAGCAAAATACAGTTCTCCCACATTGATGGGAAATGGGAAATCAAGACTCCCTTCCTTATAAATACCCATGTTTTGGGTTTGGGAAGAAGCACTTGAGTTGAACTCAATAAGGCATCTCCCTATAAGTGAGAAAACCTTTAAGTTCTTAATACTCTAGTATTTTCTTAGTCTAGCCCTGACTAACCTTCGGGGTAGACACCGCTCGGGTCTGGTCAAGGGTGTGAGCCGTCGGAGGCTTACGCACTTGCGAAGCTAGAGCTTTCAAGTAAGAGCTCGTAAGCGAGCAAAGCATGCGTCGAGGGTAAGATCGTCTTTTCTCTTTCTCTTTCTTTTATTGTTTAATTATGTGATTGCATGAATTAATGTGCGGGTTTTGGGCGGGTTTCATTCCCCGTAATGTCGGACACTACGAAACCCAACAGCGATATCGGAGCCGCGCTCATTTTAATTATTGTAACTAATAATTAATTGAGGTTGATTAGGGGATTTTTATCCACCAATCATCATCTGACACGTGGACAAACCAGGTTCCGCCACGTGACCTTCACGTAGGCCAATGAGAGCCTGCCACGTGTCAACCAAATATTCGTCCACCATGGACCAGCCGCGACGCGACGCGTGTCCTTCCCATGACACATGGGAAAATGAGCCAACAAGGCCCAAATCCTTGTTGGAGGCCCAGTCAGCCCTAGGTTTAACCTAAACCTAGAGAGTGGTGTTTCGGGGTTTTCTGATGTCCTGCGGGAGAGTTACAATTCCGAGACTGGAACCGGACGCCTGTACCTGCAAAACAAACGGATGCTCCAGATGATTGGAGATCCGCCTCCGACGGTCAAGTTAGTACTTGATTAAGGAGTAATTAATGCGGAAATTAAAGTGATTGGGTCTCTCTAGGTGAGAGTTTTTAATGTGTGTAATCTGCGTAATCTCCCTTAATGAGGATTAAGGGAGGTATTTATAACCTCGGGAAACGTGCCAATATAGGTTTAGGTTAACCTTGGGCTGATTGGGCTTCCCTCGGAAGTTGGGCCTAGGTGACCGGCTTCTCCATTAGGCATGGAGTATGCCACGTGTCATGACATAATAAGTCCAGGGTGGACGAATAAGCGTGTGCCACGTGGCAAGCCCTGAGAGGTCCAACTGGGGGACACTTGGCAGGACCTGATTGGCCCACGTGGCGCATTCCGATTGGTGGGAGCTAAATCCCCTAATCATTTTCCCCTCACAGGTGGCACGTGACTTGTCACGTGTTACCTGTGACAGGTGTCGCCCTGTAACAGGCGACGGCCTGCTACAGGTGTAACTCGGCGAGAGGCCGAGAGATTCTCCCGCCAAAATTTTGAATTCTAGAAGTGACCCTTCGCCTTCTCACTTCGCCTATATAAAGGAGTGTTGACTTCGGTCATTTTCACACTTGAAAACTTTGTGAGAGAACATTCGGACCCCTGAACTTGCTCTGAAATTTTGGACCCTTTCTGCCTACCGCCTGCTCTGACAAGCCGACTGCAAAGGATTTTCAGAACTTCATCAATCGTCACTCGTTCAGGTAACCGTCGGTTCTCTTACTCTTAATTTTCTTTTTACTTTATTCTTTTTTGAAATGGCACCACGGAAGCACACGACACGACCTAGGTTAGTGATCAGTCGGTCACCAGGGACGGCTGAATCTAGGACTAGGAGTGCCGCCTGCCCTTTTCTGGACCCATCTTTGCCCTTTATACAAAGTCCGACTGTATCTGTGTCTATGCAGAGCATGATGGCCAGAATAAAAAAGACTGCCATGATCTCAAA